TCAGCCTGAGCCTCACCTGCCAGTGCCAAGGCTGCAGGCCTCTGGATTGCATCCCTGGACCTTGAAGCTGGGTCTGTCCTGACAGCAAGGCACAAGCTGTGGGTTTCAGGGCTCCTGGAGGTCAGGCAGGTCAGCCAGCAGCATTGGGGAGTCCATCTGGATTTCACGCTGCAGAGACTCGATGTCAGCCGGGTTCATGCCGTGGCCCTCAAGCCAGTCAGCCAGGAGGGAGGCTGAGAGTGAAGCTGAGTCTGCCTGGCTGCAAGAAAAAGGAATTGGGATGGGTGTTCTCAGCCTGAGCCAGCTGGGCAGCCATCCAAGGACCCTGCCATAGCCCCATTCCAGGAGCTCAGTCCAACCATCTTACCCATCCTGTGGCCCATCAGCCACACCCATATCGAAAGATTGGTTTAAGAATTCCTCTAGGTCAAAGCCAACACCGTAGCCAGCCCCACTGCCCTTTGGAGTGCCTGAAAACACAGGAGGCAGGGGGTCCTCCACCTGCAGGGACAATAACAGGTTACAACACAGGTTCCAGGAAGGACAAATTAAGGTCAGCAGGACACAGCCTGCTATTACTCACCACTCTGACCAATATCCCAGAACATGAACACGATCTCAAAATCAAAAATCAAGTACTAAGACAACTGGTGCTGTCTCTAGGCCACTTTCTAGAGTCTACTTCCCAACAACCTCTTCACTGTGATAAGAGGGCAGGCTCAAAGAGGTAACAATCCCTTTGCTACTTTTTTCCATCCAACATGGTAACCCAAACCCACCTTCCAGGACCCAGATCAAGGTACCCAGGCCTTTGTCTCTCTTCTCACCTGAGACTTAGACAGTTGCTGGGTCACCAGGTTGACATCTGGTGACTCTGATGTAGAAGGCTGAGGGGGGCCCCCAGGATCTGGAGGTGGTGGGCCAGATGGGAAGTATGAGAGAACTTCTGGGGCACTGGAGCCAGGCAACCCACTAGTTGGCACAAGTGACTGAGAGGCCAGAAGGCTAGTGGAAGGGGCAGTTTGGAGTGGGGCAGGGATAGGTCCAGGAGGGCCAGAAGGCTGGGGAGCAGGGCCAGTGGGTGGGCAAACAGGCTGGGAGGCAGGACCAGGAATAGAGCCTGCAGGCTGTAGAGGAGGACCAGCAGACTGAGATACAGGGCCAGTGGGAGGACTAGCAGGTTGGGCAGGGGATGGAGCTGGGGCTGGGGCTGGAGTTGGGGCAGGAGGGCGACGCTCTAGCAGGCTTCGGTCATTGTCACTAAGCACCAGTCCAGCCAGAGGGTCAGTAGAGGGCCCCCCCAAGGCACCAGCTCCTCTCTCCTTGCGTTCCCTCTCTTGTCGTCGCTTCTCCCTCTCCTTGGCTCTCTCTTGTCGCCTCCTACGCTTCTCTTCTCGCTCTCGCTGGCGTTCCTGAGCTGTCACAGGCTTTCGAGGTTCAGGTGCCTCCAAGGGTGCACTGGGGCCATCTGCAGGGCAGTTGGACAGGGAAAGGTAAGGGCTTACAATTCTGTTCAAGAGTCCTTGTCTACCACTCCACTAGCCAGCCAGCTGCTAGACCCATGAAAGCACCTCTGAGTCGGCTCCTCAGGGACTTGAGCAGGGCAGCTTTGAGGGCTGCTTTGGTGTTGTCTGAGATGGCACCCTCTCTTTTTGGTGGGGCAAGCTCACTGGCTGGGGGCGCAGGCTTCAGAGTCAGATCAACAGTGTCAGGTGCAGGGCCAGAGCATGGTGGTGGTGCTGGAGGAGGTGACTCCATGGCACAGTCTCCACTTGGAGCCCAGGGACTGGGCATCTCAACATCTGGACACACAGGCTCACTAGCCACAGGCTGCAGAGAAGGCTGGAAGCGGATTTGTTGGCGGATGCCCTCCCGTCGTGCATGGAAGTCCTCAATCTCAGCCACAATGGCTTCCTTAATGCGCTCCCTAGTAAGGGCTTCACGGTCAAAAGCAAAGTCAAAAGGTGGGGCACAATCAGGCTCATCATCAGGGTCATGGTACTTAGCCAGGAAGGGGTGACGAAGGGCAGCAGCAGCTGAGATCCGGGCACTGGGTTCAAATGGCTTCTTGCGGCCCAGCAGTGAGAGGGCCTGGCGGTCAGCACCTGGGTATACTGTCTCCCAGGGTACAGGCTGCCGTGGTGGCAGGCTCTGGATATATGCCCGCACCCTTTCAGCCCCCACAGCCTGAATCACAGCTGGTGATGGGGTTCCCAACACCATCATGATCAGCTGTAACTGGTGCACATAGTTTTTGCCTGGGAAGAGTTGTCGCCGAGCCAGCATCTCACCAAAGATGCAGCCCACAGACCAGAGGTCAATAGCCTGTGTGTACTCATGCAGGGAAAGCATGAGTTCAGGGGCACGGTACCAGCGAGTGGCCACGTACTCAGTCATGAAGTACTGGTGTTCAGCAGGGGAGGTACACAGCCCACGGGCCATTCCAAAGTCACCAATCTTGAGCTCACAGTTCTCATTCACCAAAAGGTTAGAGGGTTTAAGGTCACGGTGGATGACCTGAGCAGAGTGCATATACTTGAGGCCCCGAAGCAGCTGGTACAAGAAGTATCGCACATGCTCCAGTGTGAGTGGCTGTGAGGAGTGGATGATCTGGTGTAGGTCACTCTCCATGAGGTCCAGTACTACATAGCTGGAAATGGTGACAAAAGGTGTGAGCTGGTCTCATATTACAGGGACAAGCACAATCCTCACTAGCCCTCCTCTCAATTCTAGATATTATGGCCTTACACTGAAACCCTAAAGGACTAGCAGATGATATAAAAAAAAATAGCATCAGGTTCTAGATTTTTCTACATCACAAAAAGCTTAAAAGTTGGCTGGGCGTTGGTGGCACACGCCTTTAGTCCCAGCCCTTGGGAAGCAGAGGCAGGCGGATCTCTGTAAGTTCGAGGCCAGCCTGGTCTACAGAGCAAGTGCCAGGATAGGCTCCAAAGGTACACAGAGAAACCCTGTCTCAAAAAACAAACAAACAAACAAATAAAAAAGTATTTTGTGACTAATTAGTTATATCTGCCATAAGAATAGGAAGGTATCATGACACAACAATGTCCTGTGTCTGCTATCTTATAAAATCTGGACCTGTTCTGTTTCTCTCACTCTCTTGTTGTTGTCTGGGTCTTTTGTTTTGTCTTATGAGATAGGGTCTCATGTAGTCCAAGCTAGCCTTAAACTTACTACATAGGCAAAATTGGCATGCCCAAATAAAGAAATATATCCCCTCCCTTTTTTTATTCCAATACAGAAGAGTCAACCTGAAACCTCAAAGATGTGGGCCAGGTGGTAGTGGCACTCGGGAGGCAGAGGCAGGTGCATTGCTGTTTGAGGCCAGCCTGGTCTACAGAGTGAGTTCCAGGACAACAAGAGTTACACAGAGAAACCCTGTCTTGAAAAACAACAACAAAACCCCCTCAAAGATGCTCATGATTCTACCACTTAGCTACATCCCCAGCCCTTGTACTCTTCTTGAGAAACAAGAACCATCCCTACCAATGTTCTACAGGAACACTCACTGGTCCT